CTAGGCAATTCATTTGGAAACACATCAGGAAATTCACAAACAACAGGAATAGTGTCCACATTAAGACTATCAAAAGTCTCAGTCATAACACAACACATATAACCCCTACATCCCTTTCTAAGCAGTTTAACAGCTTTCATGGCAGAAATCAAGTATGGAGGATGAACTACCCCATTCTCAGCAAACACAAGCTCGTGTAAACCAGGTGGACGAAACACAACAGACTTATTCACACAATTAATAGTTGTACAGTACTTCGGCAACTAGTCCATAGCCGTATGCAGTCAAAATGATCAATTCTCAAAGGCAATAAATCAACATACAACATCACATGACCAATCATAATATCACGTGCCGGATAAACATAAACACATACCATAGAACCCCTAGATGGTGTAGACATAGACAGTAAATAATTCATGGGTTCTAAAGGTCTAGTTAATTTATAGGAAAAAGGAATACGACACAAAAGAGTGCGTAGAACCAGAATCTATTAAGACATATGCGTGACCTACACAAATATATAACAAATACACTTATTGAAACATACACCTGAATAGTACTTAACTTATTCAATTTCGTTCTTAGTGTGTTTCTAAGTCTTATCCTTTTTATGGTGTCTTAATTAGGGCTTAAAAATGCGTAGGATGTAATGATGATGGCAAAATGTGATATAAAACACTTAGTCAAATTTACTGAAAACAGGGTCTTCGCTTGAGCGGAGGTTTAAAATATAGGTGGTCACTCGAGCAGTATGTAAACTCTGCAAAAGTATTAGTTGCATGATTTTTCCGCTTGACGGTTGCTCGAGCGCAAGACTGAGCAAACAGGGTCCTCGCTCGAGCACAACTCTTGTTGCTCAAGCGGGCTGCAAAACTTGCAAAACTTCTGGAAGCATGAATTTTACGCTCGAGCCAACCTCTTCTCGCTCGAGCTGAGATACAAAACAAAGGGTGGTCATTCGAGTGCAGGTTTGGTCGCTCGAGCGGTGTTGCAGAATTATGGAATTTCTAGATTTCTCTTTAAGCTTCAAAACTAAAATTCAAACTAATAAAACAGATCATTTTGGGCCCAAAACTTGAGGAAACCTATGTAAGCTTGTAAAACATAGTAAATTCAAAATCGTTTTTGTCACGACCCAAACCCGCCATTATGGGTTTAGCACCGTAACCGGCCAGTAATCCAAGATTACCGAAGGCCTGCTTAACAGTAATACAGCAATACAGAGTACAGGGGCTGGCGGAAGCCAATACAATAAATAAACAATGTCCAATGAGCTATGACAGTCTGTATGTAAAAAGACTTTTCATTCAAATATATACAGTCAGACAAAACAGTATGTACATATATACAATCATTCAGTTCAGGGACCTAATCCCTATAAAACAGTACAGTAACAGTCTATACAGTTATGCAAAACAGATACAGAGACAGACGGGGAAATTAAAAACACCCCTAAGCCGTAGCTTGACAGGCTCGGAACCTCGCATTGAGGCACATAGGTTGGCTCGACAAAACTGGAGTTTACCCCGACGGTTCTAGCTGCGGTCTGGTGCCTGTACACCTACATATATATATAAGCAGTGAGCTAAAGCCTAGTGAATAACACAATGCGTAAAGGGGTTAAGAATGAATGTCCTTACAGTAATGAAAATAGTTCATTAATTCAGTATTTCAGTCGTTCAGTTGGTACAGTCATATGTGGTACATCCATTAGCATAACAGTACAGTATACAGTATGTCTTAAAAGACCGAACAGTAAATGATGGCCATCAGTCAGTAACAATAGTGGTTCCAACGAGGGAACCGACAGAGATCTCTATAGTAGTAACAGTAAACAGTAGTTGCTAAGGATGCCACAATACAGTTCAGAATATAGGACATACATTCATTCAATTAACAGTATCAGTTCAGAAAGCAGTACAGTTCAATTGTTCAGAAGATAATCATTTTGAACATATCTTTACACAGTTGTTACTCACAGAGTTTTGGGCTACAGTAAAGTTAGAGCGCGTCCCCAGTCGCCAACCCTACACAGTTACAGATTGAACACACACTAAGCTACACAGTTGGGAAAATAATAACTTAATCCCTAATTTGCCTCAGTGTGGTTCTACCTCTATAACCTCATTAAGATGTTTTAAACTAGGCCTAAGAATGCCTAGGATGGGATGAAGATGCAAAGATGCACTTTAAAAATATTTTCAGACTTTTCAGAAAACAGGGGTCACGCTCGAGCGTAAGTTACTCCGCTCGAGCGGACATGCAGACAAAGGTTTCCGCTCGAGCGTATACTTACCCGCTCGAGCGTTATGCAAAACAGTCAAAAGTGCTGGATAGGTGAAAATCACGCTCGATTGGGCGCTTGACACCCGCTCGAGCATAAGACACAATGTCCCGCTCGAGCGTCAATTCTTCCGCTCGAGCGGACTTCAAAACAGAACAAAATGCTAGGAGCACGATTTCCACGTTCGAGCGCCAGTCACCCCGCTCGAGCGTGAGTCCAAATTCTGGAAATTCCAGATTTGAATCTCAAGCTCAAAACCAAGTTTTTAAACCACAAATTCGATCATCTTGGGCCAAGTTTTTTAGAAAACACATCAAAACTCCTACTTTAACATGATTCAAAACTCAATTTGTAAAATCATGGCCCAAGGGTGTTTCAAACAACTCAATTTGAAACCAATTTTCATGAATATGAAGAACATGCAAACATGCATGAATTTAAATCATGTCAAAGCTTTAAATACAAGCTCAAATGAGCTAACTCTTACAAAACAAGGTGAAAACATGGACTTAACATAACCATGAGCATGCATGTGACAATTCTCTATGGAAACAACTTAAAGTTCAACAATTCAAACATGCATGCATGGAATGAGCTCCAATTCAACATTAATGAACCAATTCTTGACTTAGCTCTTTAAACTACCATGATCCATGCTAGAAGGGACTTAAATACACAATAAGAAGGATGAAATTCATACCTAGGTTCCTCAATTACAAGTCTAGAGGCTCAATTATGCACTTAAGCTTTCAATTCCACAAGATTCAAGCCAAATTGTGAAGAACTCAAGCTTTCACTACCTCTCTCTCTCTCAAGTTGGCAAGAACAAGGAAAATGACTGATGAAGTGTGCTATGTGATCATGTGTGTAAGGCTCAAATGGTTAGATGATAGGCCACTAATAGGGCAAGGTTGTAATTAAGTCTAAGTTGTGCAATTTAACTTCATTTTAATCTAATTTAATCATACCTAATCAGTTTTCAGGTAATTATACCATAAAATCACATAAATCACGATGATCATAAAACACTAATCGGTTTCCGGTTCGGCCGCCGATAAGGCCTTCAATTCAAAATTTAAACACAAAGACACGAACAGATAATCAAATAACCAAACAGATAGAATTACAATTAAACAAGTATACTCAGTCAATTCAGTTTCTATTTCAGTCAGTCAGTTCAGTAGTTTATTCAGTTCACTTATCAGTCATAGTCAGTTTCAGTTTAACGGTAATCAGTGGTTATTCGATAAACAGTGACGAGGGTTGTTATAGTTTTGCAAAATCAAAGCCCAAAAGTATGCCAATTATCCAAAATCAAACTTGAAACTTATGATACAAACATGCATGTAATTTCTTTGAACTTAAATTCTTCAAATCATGCTCAAACAAGGTAGATTGATGGAAAACATGATAAAATCTCAAAATTAAGTTGAAACAATGACACACATGGAATAATTACTTAACATCAACTCCAACATGTTATGGAAAATGCATGCATGTATGTCTTGAGTCTTAATTCTCCAATATTAGTTCAATTCTTGCATTAATCACCTTAGTTCTCTTGAATCTACGTGGTAAGTGACTCAATTGCATCTAAAGGCTTGAATTCTTACCTTAAGGCCTTGAATTTCCAAGTGTTAAAACCTAATCTTACAAACTCTCTTCTATTTAGATCAATTTCTAGCAAGTCTCCCATTTTCTCTATTGCTCTCACTCTCTCTCTTGATCTCTTTCTCTCCCACGTTTGAGGCTTCAAGAATGGAAATGAGAGTGCAAAGTGTATCCTAGAGGTTTTTTGTACCTTTTATAAGCTTGATTAAGAAGTTAATTAAGTTAGACTTACAACTAATCAATTGACATTAATTATCCTAATTAATTCGTTCCGAATCGAATTCCAATTAATTCTACCATAAATTTCTCAAAATCATAAATAACACATAAATGAAGTCAATTTCGTAATCGGATACCGACAAGGCTTTCAATTCGCAGAACAGAACAAAAATACAGACATATGTTTCTACAACATATAGATATAAACACAAATAACATATAATATATGCAATTAATACAAGATTTTCTCTTAATTACTTATTAGGCTTCCTTAATCATGGTCTAACAGTTAATTACAGGTCGGGATTGTTACATCTATCCACCGCTTTATTCGTTTTGCGTACTCGAACCACCTCCACTTCAGCAGATCTATCACCATCACGCTGGTGTTGGAGTAACAAATAGATGTAGTTGGAGACGAAGTAAGTGGCGCTAGAGTCGGAGAGAATAGAGGCGTTAACGATGATGATATAGGCCTCGATCATAAAGGTGGTGGGTGGTCCGATTTAGATTCCTGCAATGGGAGGAGAGAAAGAGAGAGAGAGAGAGAACGGTGAGATGATGGTAGTGATCGGCTGTGTTGACAAGAAAATAAAGAGAGAGAGAGAGAAGAAGAGAGAAAAAAGATAGAAAATAAGGCCTATTAGGGTTTTTGGTTTAGAAATAATATATATACATGGAGTAATTTGGTCATTTCGCCTTAATATGTCCATATAGATAGAAAAGTTTAGTGCAAAGCTTTGACCAAAAGAAATTCAAATTTGAACATTTTACTTGGGGGCCCTAAATTTTTTTTTTAGGCGTAAATAGAGTCTCCCCTTGTGGTAGGGTTGGTTTGTTTGTTTTTGTTTTTGTTTTTGTTTTTGCGGGAAAACATTTGAGTCATGGGCCTTATGACTTTGAAATGGATGAGCCTTTTGGAAGCTGAATTCGGGCTCCGAATAGCGTAACCATCGTCACTCTGGATGGTTTCGGGTTATCGGGTTTCGGAGTCCATCTCTGCGCTGCTTCTTTCTTCTACCCATCTTCTTCCCTCTTCGATTCCCTTCTCGCCATTATCACCATCTTCACGACCCTCCCTCCCTCCCTCCCTCTCTCTCTCTCTCTCTCTCTCTCTTCACCGTTCTTACTGAAGTTGAAAACAACACAGACTCACAAAGATCCATCACATCCCCTCTCTCTTGCTTGGTAACCACAAACTCTCTCTCAATACACGTTGTGTACATTCATGTGTGTATATGGTTTTCGTGTATATGGTTTTCATGTATATATACGTACACATAGGGTTTGAAACGTAATAGAAAGATCGTTCTAACATTAGGGAAAGGGAAAAAAATTACGATTTTTAGGGTTTGAAACGTAGAGGGAAGCCATTGGTTTGTGCTTTTTCTCAATAATTTTAACTGTAAATTGTTAATTCTAATTGAAATTTGTCATAAGTTTTTTTTTTTTTTTTTTTGATATACATCAAAATGGTTGTTAATATGTGGGTTTTGGGTTTTGGTTCATATGGGTGCTCTTTGTGTGTTATTGTAGTGCAATGAGGGTGGTGGCATAAAAAGCAAGGAGACACTAGGTTGATTTTGAGATGAGTTGACATGAGTAGACTGTCATTTAGGCCTCGCCCCCTCGACATTCACAAGAAGCTCCCCATTGTAAAATCTGTTAAGGACTTTGAGGATGACGAGACCCCCACTTCTACCCGTAGCTCGCAGATATTGCGTCCTCCTCAAGAGGCCGATAACGAGGTACCAATGCAGCTTGGAGTTCAATATATTGATTGGTTCTCTGTTGATTATATTTGTTGTTCACTAGTTTTCGTTCTTTATGCTGCTAATGCAATACCCAGTGAATTGTAATCAAGCATATATATATATATATATATTATATGTGAATGTGATTGTATTCTGATTTTACAGAGGCCTGTGCAGAATGTATATATTTTTTGCTTTGTTTCTTGCCACATAGCTCTGTATACAAAAATGCTTTCTACATGCCTAAAGGCTTCAAAGACACAAATAGACAAAACAAGAAGCATTGCTGTTTTGTCACTTCAAAGGGGAAAAGAAAGAATAAGCATTGCTGATTAATCATTACCTTTATAAGTCTCAACCACTAGGGAACATGACCATTATTATTTCCACACTCTGGTGACTTTGTTTTTTGTTTTTTTCCCTTTCCTGAATTGTTGAATAAGGCAATTAACACCTCCCCATATACAAAAGTTATTTGCAACTTAAGACATTCAGTAGTTGCTACCCTTCTACCCACACACACAATAAATTTTTTTTTTAAACCAATGAATGGTCTTGGTCACATCTGTGGCTATTGAGTGACAGAGTCTTACTAAATAAGGCATTTGAGTCATTTGTAACTCAAAAGATCAGTTCCCTTTCCCTATGTCCCATTCATAAACACAAAAAAAGATCAAATGGTTTTCCTTTTTTTTCTTGGCGTTTGTTTCGGTATTCGACTTGCATATCCATTTTTTCCAAGATGAAAGGTATTTGAACAATAGAGAACAACCTGAGTGATTAACTAAAAAATGGGAACAATTTACAAATACAATAATGATAAGGCTATGTCCCTCATGTTGATGATTTATATTTTCCACAACATATAAGGTCCCTCATTTAACCATGGTCTTTATTTATGTAAGATCAACAGGTCTATTTCACCGGCAAAGTAAGTGAATAGGCAGTTGTAATCCAGATCATCTGGATTTTCTAGCAACTGAAAGAAATTTAATGAAAATTAAGCAATTCCCTAATTCTCTAATATTTATGATGATAAGGGTATGTCTTTCATCTAAATATGGACTTTATTAATTTAAAATCAACTGGTCTATTTCACATGCAATTAAAGTGAATAGGCTGTCGAATCCAGATCATCATGCCTTTGTAGTTTCTAGCAACTCAATATTTTGTAATTACCTAATATTTGAATATTAACAAGGAAGTGGGTGCTATTTGTTTCTTGGACCTTTGCATGGTAAACTTTAGACTTCAAATGCCTTTTGTGTTGTTTCCCTTGTGTTAGATCATGCACTTGATAGAATAATAAATATCTTTAGAACCTTTAAATTTTCCAATCTACTAAATTTTCAGAACCCTAATTTGCATAATCACTTGTGGTCCCTAGATGGGTGTGTTAGTCGTTGAAAGTTTCTTAAGACTAATTAACTAACTGATTTTCATACTTATTGTTTTAATGTATTATGATATCCACAAGGCTCTTGTCATTATTTAGCAACCCTGTTTACAAATAATCCAGTCATTGCTAAAGTTTCGTAAGATTTAGATGGCTACTTTAAGTAATCCTATTGGGTTCTCTGGACATACATTTGTGGCTCCTCTAGCTGTGCCTCTGGCATTGTACGAATGGTGCTTGAACAAATACAGATCTTGGGTCACCTTTCATGTTTTATTTTATTACTCATCATAACCCTAACATCAAATAGAAAAAAACCCCCTCCCCCTCCCCCTTGTTTTCTTGAGGTATACTGTCTTGATCTGGATAAAGCTCAATGGTGGATGAGTATTTTCTCGGTATTTCCAGTTGATTGTGATTAAAGCATTGATCAGTCTAGATATGGCCCAAAGGTTGGAAACAACCAGGTGGTGCTCTTTCCCATGCAGTTGAAAGAGCATTATTTGAAATTTTGTTATAAGATCTTCTAAAAGTGGGCACATGTTTTACTCAGAATATCAAACACATACTATGAAACTTCTAATATGCAAAAATAACAAAATGCCTCCAACTTTAAAAAAAAGAACAAATGAATTACCGTCCTGTGGCTCCATAAAAGAAGAATGTGAAAGAACCTAAGAATATTGCTTATCGCTTCTTTGAATTTCTACCAAGCCATAGTTGGATAAAGGCAAACACCTCAATGGCCCTGTCCTTGTCAAGGAAAATGTTGAAGCAAACGTCATACCACATGGAATATGTTGTATTTTGTTAGACATCCATTTTTTCTTCCCTACTTTTTAAGTTGATGTGTCCTCCTAACAAACGTGTCATTAAAACACAAACATATATATTGTTAAGTAGAATCAGTGAACACAATATTTTGATTTCAGTGCAGATTAGTTTATGTAGCTTCAACTGAACTATTCTGAATTTTTTTTGCTCTATAGGTACAACAAATTCCTAGCAAGAAAGTGGCTTCTGAAATTCCTACTCCACAGTATGTTTTTGTTGATACATATGAAAGAGATTATTCCTGCACTTTCACGCAACCGACATCATACTTACGAGCAAGAGGAGGTTTGCAGATTACATAGATTATTTATGGTTTATTATTTAGGAAATTAGTTTCGCAGGGATGTCATTTTATGGAATACTGAAATTTTCAAATTATTTGTAGCTCGGGCCGAGCTTGGAGATTTTGTTGAGTATGACCTAGACAATGAGGATGAAGATTGGCTTCAAGAGTTCAACAAAGAAAAAAAGCTTCTTACCACTGAAAAGTAATGATTACATTATTCTTGTATAAGATTGTGCTACTAACTTCATTTTTTATTTTCAGTTTGTTGCCTTCTCTCTCTCTCTCTCTCTCTCTCTCACACACACTTATTTGTATGTTAGATTTAGCTTTGTCAATATCATTTCTACATATGTTACCTTCTATTTTCTACTGGAAATTGATTTTGATACTTTGCTTTCAAGAATGCTAGAGTTATTACACTACTTTTGCCTTTAAATGGACAATGATTGGAAATGGTTGTAGGCAGTAGGGGTGTTCATGGTTTGGTTGCGGCCGGGAAACTTCTAATCCGCTATCCGTCGTGTCGCGAAAATGCCATTTCCGATCAGACTTGGCGGATTGAAAAAAATCAATCCGCATCCGTCTGCCGGATTGACGGATGGATGCGAATTGGTTTGACAGTTTAAATTTTTACAAATTTTGAACATAATACACCAACTTGTCAACCTTTTTTTTTGGATAACAATCCAATTCAACATAACCAAAAGATTATCAAGTAAATTGTCAAATACCAATAATAAATGCATATAAGAAAACCATGCATTATCAAAATTATTTCATTACTTTTTTTATATTAAAAAACTATTTAATTTGATTTTTAAAAAAAATGAAAAAATTAAGCCTTATATTTTTCACACAAAAATACCAAATATTAACACTTGGCATTTGATAAAAGAATTTCCAAATTAAAAACACAACAGAATATTTAAACTCTTTTTCAATTGAAAACACAAACAGAATATCTAAACAAATTGAATACACAAAATCTTACAAATGACTAGGGGTGTTCGCGGTTTGGTGGTTCGATTGCGGCCAAAGGAATCTCAAATCTGCCATCCTTTCAAAACTAGGCGGATTAAAAAAAATCAATCTGCAACCGTTCGCTCGTCATCACGCATCCGTCCAAAATGCGGCGGATCGGTTCGGTTCAGTTAGTTTGGGCGGATCGAAATATCCGCTGCTCATCCCTAGTTGGTAGAGATGTGCATGCGTTAGTTCGGTTGAAGTTAGTGTGAAACCGTAAATCGAATCAATCTAAGTTTAGTTCTCATTTTTTTTGGACCCAAAACCATCGAGCAACTAGTAGAACTGAATTGAGAAACCGCAGTTGGGCTCGGGTTAGCTGGTGGTTTGAGTTCTATGTTATGTTAATAGTTTATAAAACTCAAAGATGCTCATTCAAAATTCTTTTATTTCTATATGATGATAATATATATAGTAATGTTAACATTTTGGGTAAATTATACTGACACCCTTTCATTCTTATGAAATTACACTATCATCCCCTTTATTCTCTAAAATAGCACCGCACACCCTTTGGATTTTAAAGTGACAAAATCCTCCATTCATCAGTCAACTTTTTGTTGACCAAGCAGATATGATTGATGTTGGCAAGTTCTATTTTAAATGCCCACTCTGCCCTTGCTAAAATATATCTTTTGACATGCATGGGTTCATGAATTACTTGAAAACATCAAGGGTTCATGGATCACACATGCTATGGTATTATATAGAGGGTATCTTAAATGTGGGTGAGATGGATGAAATGTAATATTATAGTGATTCTGAATTTACCTGAGCTGAACCTTGTGTTCTTTGAATTTGATGATTTCTTGCCCATCATGCTTAGTTCAGCATGGCTCTAGCTACTTCTTCATATTTCACCTTTACTACTCTTCAGTAATAAAACTAAATTGAGTCTATTCAACCCAGTTGTCTTGTTGAGGTTGATATCGCTAACTGTGCTGCTATTGCTGTTCTTATGACTGTAAATATTTGTGTTACTCTGATATTTGGAGTGAAATTGCTCATGCTTGTAAGCGCTTTTCTATGCCCCTTTTTTATTTTCTCCCCGACAGATATATATTGTTGGATTTTTTTTTTTTTTTTTTTTTTTTCTCGGTACATCAGAATAAATGTTGTTGGATTTACTTCTGCAGTTTACTCTGCTGCTGTGCTCATGTGGGCATGTGCTTGTGAGTGCAGGTTTGAAATTATCCTATTTAAATTGGAGGCATTGGATCATAAGGCTCGGGAAAGAGCAGGAGTTATAACTGCTACTCTTGGTTCTCCCATTCCTGTACTTCTACAATTTGATGCTGCTGCTGAGGTGAAAGTTTACTCCGTTGCATGGTTGCACAATCCACTCTATATGCTTACCTTTCTTATGGAACTTGTTGATTATTACCTCTTGAATTGCTGATTATAGTTAGGTTTATTATTGATATCGTGCATTGATGCTTGTAAATGGGGCAGTTGTTGCTTATTGCTTAGCCTTACAAAATTTTATCAGTTGGTCCTGATGTCTGCCACTTGTCTTACCTTAGCTTGATGTGTGGATCCACGTCCTTAGCCCCATTTTCTCTTTATTTTGATTCACTTTTAGTAAGTTTTTCTTGGGGTTTGTTAAAAGACCTTTGACCACATTGGAAACTTGTAGCTGGGGAACTTCGTGGATCATATCAGCTGCCTATGAAGCATGCGTACTCTAAAAATATTGCTGTACAAAACTGGGTATGAGCACTGTGTATTCTGTACTTTTTGAATGCTGGGTTTGATTTGGGTATGGGATGGGTGCAACTTGGGTATGTGATGGGTACGACTCAAGTACGAGATGAGTACGTTTTAGGTATGGGATGGGTGAATATCCGGTACTTTTGTGGGCACGTCAAGGCATTAAATGTAATTTTTTTAAAAATATAGGGGTACTAGAACAACTATATTATGCCTATTTTTAAAGACTTTTAAAATTAGTGTATTTTTACAATTATCAAAAAATTTTAAAAAAATTGGGAGCTTTCTATTCTCGTCGGCTTTCCCTCTCTGCATCTTCTTCTCTGTTTTTTCAACAACCCTATCTCTCTTATCCATTTTCATCTCTGTTTTTTTTTTTTTCTCCTACCCTTTCTGTTTATTGTTCTCTATTTTTTTAATCGTTACTTTAATTATTTTTTGCATTTGATTTTCTAATCGTTATATGTCATGCATTACTACAAATTGTTATTTTTAATTGTTGTTATTGGATTTCTTCGTTAATGGTTCCATTAGGGATGTAGTCCTTGGACATTATGCTGGATGTTACCCTTGACGAGACAGTTTTTAGGTCTTACTTGGCACTGCATTCGAGGAGCTCAACCATATCTTTTTTTGGTTATTTATTGGTCTTATTACTATAGGTTCCTTAGTTATATAGTATTCAAGCAATGGAAAGAGAATGTGCTGTGACACTGCTGTCTGCAATATGCTTCTCTTGAGTTGACTAGGTTATAGCAGATTGTGTTCAAAGTCAATACAGTTCACCATTAATATGTCGAGCTTTTGTTTAGGACATTATTGGTGTATATTTGAGGATCAATCAATTCTCTTGTATACAAAGCTGTATATTTAACTATGAAGTTGCCTTGCTGATAGTTTGTTTGTGGATGGGGTTTTCATTGGATATTATGCTGGTTATCAGCCTTGATGAGAGGCTATACTGTCCTGCCTTTTGGCTGCCTAGTTTATAATCTTGCTTACACAGAGGGCTCAACGTCTGGCCTCCATTCCTTGCAATCTTATACAGTTCTTTGGTAACAACCTTTATTTTCGAAGTTGTGTACTTTGATTATGGTTGTCAAAGCAACTTTTTGATGTAGGATAATTCTAACTTTGAAATAATCAAGGAAGCACGGGTGCGGGTACGAGTACGGTACGGGTACGAGTACGAGTACGGTACGAGTACGAGTGCGGGTACGCCAATTCGGCAAAACTCAAAAAAAGTACGATAAAGGTACGGCTGCGGTACGCCGATGTTTTTTTTTTTTTTTAAAAATATAATTATAGTTAAAGGATCCAACCTACAAATTAAAATTAAATATCAAAACTAAAAAAAGAACTACTCATTTTCCTATAATTTAAAACCATTAAGTGTTAAAAATAATATTTGTGAAATTTCTCACTTTGACATGTTATGCACTGTGAATTTGTGATCATAATTTATTCTTAAAATCTTTCTTTTTGCTCATCAATTTGCTATTTTTATAGGGTGAGACCAAAGAAATAACAAGAGACCAAAGAAAGATTTAAAGTTAATTGCCAACAGTAAAGGAAAAAAAATTCTCAATTGGGGCAGGTTGTCAATTGCAATTTGCATAATACATAAAATTGTATCATTCCCAACCACTACTAATCAACTAATACAGTATCAATTTTTAATGTTTTGTGCATGAACTTTAAAAGTTTGTTATGATTAAAGATTTTATAAAGAAATTCTGAAGGAGAATCTGAAGCAAAAGCATAATGCATAGTCATACACAAAACTACCCATTATAGGCCTTGTTATTTTTTTTTGGTTCAAATTGCTTTTTAAAAACATCAAAATCATTTGCTGATATGCTTATACAATTTATACCGACAGACAACAGAGAAATACCAAAATTACTCAAGGGCACAAAAAAAAAAAATTGTTGATCTGCAAGGCAGAAAAAAAAGGCCCTGGTGTACCCATGGCGTACCTACGCCGTACCCGAATGACCCAAACGTACCGGACCCTCTTTTGCTGTACCCGGTACGCGTACCGCCGTACCGGTACTCGTACCAACACCCGGTAAGTACCCGGTACTCGTACGGCACTATTTTTGGAGTACCCGTGCTTCATAGGAAATAATGTTGCCCACGTTTAATTTTGGGGTGGGGTAAGCTTGTAGTTTTGGGGTTTTTAAAGATGGGAGAAAGGTATCCTGCATAAAAGACTCCAAAGTCCAACGAGCTGTCCTGAACTTTCCAAATTGGTCCTTTCCTTATTATCATGTTTGCATCACCATTGTTGTAGGGAAAGAAATGAACGTTTTGAGTTTTGAATGCATTAGATATTTGTTTTTGTGCACATATATTAATTTTCTAGATTTTGGCGCTTCTCATGAAATATTTGGCTTCTTTGCACCAGTTGTCTCCTAACTTCTTGTTGCTATTAATTTTTATTTTGTTTCCTTGAAATGCTAGGTCCTACTGCCTCTGTCAGTAAAATATGGAGTTTTGCAGTCTATTTATAACTACTGGAAGGAAAAGGTATGCATCAATTACCGTATAAAATATTTTATTATTTTAAGGAAGCTATTGCATTTGTGGTAGAGAATTTGTTAGAAACTCCCTTTCTCTTTCTTAATTCTCTTTGAGGTGACATGTTGTATTCTTTTCATGTGGTTGGCAATTTAGCAGTGCTTTTAGAACAGTGGAATATATTTGATATTTGAGAAATGACAAAAGAAGAAATGGCTTTTGACTTGTGGTTAGAAAAAGAAGGTTCACAAAAAATGTTTTTATGCCAAAAATGAAAGTAATGAAGTAGAGATATTTTCAATCTATGTATTGTCATATTTATATACTCTCTAAAGTATGCCTATTCCGCTTCTCCATAAACTCCACATCAAGCACATAGGTGCCACCAACCAAGCCTTTTGTACCCTCATTGAATGATAACCATTTGCGTGACACTGATATAACATGTAGACAGAGGTTGGCAAAACCCAAAAAAAGTGAAAAATGGAGAAAATTAAATTTTATAACTCCCTTGTCATGTCACAATGGAGTAATAAATGATCCACTGGTTAGTAATCTTGTATAACACCTCCTACTAATCTCTTGCAGCACAATATTTTCAATTCATTGCTGGAACTTCTAAAATCTGCTTAAATTAGAATTGTACATTTTTGTAGAATTTGTTAATATGCTAAGAATTATTAAATGGTAAGTTTTTTTAACAGTGTGTATCTAGGAAATGAACATTGGCATAGGAGTCTGGCAAGGCAAAAATAATGAGCTTCTTATTACACAATTTTGAGAGTCCTTTAGTTGAATCTAATTTGCTATGCTATAAGACAGCTTCTTATCTTAGGGTCCACTTGTGTTGCTCATATAATATTGATGCTCGTTTCAAAACATGAGTTCTTACTCATGTCTTTTCTTTTTTCTTCTGTTTTCCAATCCTTATTGCAGCGTGAACAGTGGCAAAAGCCTATTTTGCGGCGTTTGCAGGTTAGCTTTATCACTGGATGGAAATTTCTTTACATGATTTGTGTTTGGACATGTATTTTATCAAATCATTGAAACAAGGATTCAAGTGTTATGTAATCACTTGATTTTATTTCTGTGTACTTATTCAGTCGTCTAAATGTATTCTGGGAATTGAGTTTGATTTGATCCCTAGTGGTCTCACCTTGTTTCTATTCTTCCAAGCACTTCAATGAACTGAAGACTTAATAGCAGCCATTCAAAGGATCTATGTGGCAAAATCAATTGTTGCTAGTTGAACAAGTAGATTTCAGTAATCTATGATTATTGTCTATGATACATTTTTTTTGATAAGTAAAATAAATTGTATTAAAAAACACCAAAAATGGAGCAATTTTTGTAGAAAAAACATCTATAAAAAAGTGTGCTGCTAAATGCCTTTATCTTTCTTCTTTGGACCCCCTGCCCTTTCATTTTTTTAATTACATTTTTGTCCTAACATCAAATTCCAATTTTGTTCCCATCCCTATACTCCCAAACCTAACCCGAATTTTGTCCCAACATCGGGTAGGTTGGCAAATATATATATATTTATTATTTTAAAGAGAGAAAAAAGCCTGAGTACCAAAACCACTACCAAAAAAGACGAAAATACCATAGAATACAATTATGCAACATATAACTTCAATTTTCAAAACACCAGAACATGTGAAACCTTAATTAACTTAGTCTATTCCAATTACTAATTGAGCCCACTTTTTGTTTCCCTTTTTATTTCCCAACAACCAAACACATCATAAATTATCAAAATGAACCACGCTAACCATATTTCATATTTCCTGGATTTAATTGTTTCATGGCAAGGAATCTTGATAAAGTAATTCCTTTTTTATTTTATTTTTTTAACCAGCAACAAAAAGAAAATATTATTGATCAACGAAAAAGAGAATATACAAAAAAGAAAAGGATGACAAAAGATTGTCCACAAGAAGAAAAAAATAAAAAGAAGGCAAAACTACATATAAGATACAACTCTCCAATCACTACTAATAAGAAACAAAGGAATTACTTTAAAAGGTGCAGATACCGACACCCAAAAGGAAGTCAAATAACAAATCTTATACCACAAACTACCAATTTCTTCAATTTTATCTTCAAATACTCTTGTATTCCTCTCTAACCATAATACCCACAACATAACACAAGTTACGAAACTTCAAAGGGCTATTGACTTGTTGTTCGAACCAAACCTCTAAATTTAATGATGAGCTACTAATCATAAGAGGATGGAACCACCCAATCAATTTTTGCCAACTGAAATAACTCCACCACAAGTTCATAACCACAGGATGATGCAAAACTAGAAAGTGAATGCTATAAATGACTTGCAGAGTTTGTGTTTTGCAACAATAAAAACTAGTACATGGGATTATGGTTTTAAATTGTAATAGATGTGTCATGTGTGGCTAGAATATGTTGCTTGCAGTGGTGCTATATAAAGAGAGATTTTTCGGACGGGCTCATTTTGAGAAGGTGAGTGATATGTGAAAACAACTTATTTTGTGAAGGTGAGTAATAAGTGTGATGCAGGAGAGAGATTATACATGGACTTGAGACAATTTAACGTACACATGCTTCAATGTTAATCCTGCTGATTTTTTATTTTATTTTAATGCTCTTTCTTTAAAATCTTTCACCTTTATTAACACGTACATGTTTGTGGTGTGCATGGTTATTTTCACGTATTAACATTTGCATGAATTTTGGCTTCAACTGCAAATGATGAGCTAATAATTGCCTCAAAAACATTTGTTTTTACAGCCTCCCCCACCAGTTAATGATACCAACCCATACAATGTGTTTAGGCCAAGGGAGAAAGCCCACAGACTTCACACGAGAAGAGTAAGTGGCTGATTTGCTTTTTTAATGGTTTTTTACTTCCTTTTACAGGGGTGAAGCTTCCTGTCATACAATCAAATTATGTACTGTGAGGAGTAAATTTCATATTATAGGTATTTTATATGTTCTTGTTTTCATGTTAGATGCAAAGGAGGGAAAACAACGTGCAGTCATTTGAAAAGCTTCGCCAGGTGAGTTCAAGATCACTTGAACTTCTTGCTCATGTTCCTGGTTTGACCGTATGTACTCTAGTTGTATTTCTGAAACATGACTTCTTGTAAAACAGAAAAGATTGTAAGAAGCTAGGAGCTTTCCCTCTTTTGTTTTGTTTTGTTTCTTCATAAGTATGGCCCGGATTTTGGATGGTATTATTAGTATCCTGCTTCTTAGCAGCAGTGATTCATCTCTCTTTGTGGGTCTTACGATCCCATGTTACGCTAGATGGTTGACCATAAGTGATAGCGTGCTCTCTCATCAAAGATAAATTAAGGAAATCAACCGTTTTGGTTACATTTGTAAGCAGAATAGTATATGTGTACTTATCTTATTTTGTTTGTATGCTCTTTATTATCTAAGAACCACAGAATATTATTATTATATTTATAAAAATAAAAATAAAAACAAGATAATCATTGTTTGAAATCAGCATCAGATTGTTTTTGATATGTTATCTATCATTGTTAGAGTTCCTAATGATGACTGACGGATAATTGCATATCACAATGAAGCCAGAGAATGTTCACATCATAATACGAAATTGTAGACACAAATTTTAAAACATGATGTGTTTCAACACATTTCAAAATTTTATTATGTTACAAATGTCCACTGTTTAGTCTTTTTGACTAAACAGTGTTGATTATTTGAATAGCAGGTTCTTATTTCCGATCTGTATTTCAGATCGTTAATTACACATTTTATGCAAAATGAAACCTCTGATTAATGAAGAACAAAATAAACAACAAAAGACAATTTTAAAAAAAGAAAATATTTTATTACGATTATTATGGGTTTTGAACCCTCGAATACAAAATACAGTTTGGGTTTGGAACCCTTTACCTATTCATCGCCATTAGCGTAGGTTCTTGAATTCTCTAGCTTTCTCTTCTTCTTTCTTGTAACGATTTGTTTAGCTCTCAACTTCTTTCTCTCTCTCTCTGATCTTTTCCACTTCTGATCTTCCAATCCCCCCGTCTTGTGTGATGGTCCTCATATTTATGGAGGGCCATCAGGTGATAGGAACGCTTCATCTTCATTTTGAATTTCAAATTGAATGATATTTGAATTTCAAATTGAATGATAAAGCTATTTAAATTTTGAATAATAGCACTATCTGATTAATCGTATATCTGATTAACCGAATTGATCTTTGGGGTTTCATCCTGTGTGGTGTCTTTGCTGTAGGCTCTACAGGTGTCAACTTTCGTAGGCTCCACGTGTCATTTGAGCATCTTGAATAACGTCGTTAAGATACGACGTTGTTTAATTTATACACTTCAACGAAGCAAGTTAATCATTTTGGGAAGTGATTGCCTACAACAATCTTATCGTAGGCTCTATGTGTGTGATTGACTGTATTTGAAAGGAAAACAACGTGCAGTCATTTGAAAAGCTTCGCCAGGTGAGTTCAAGATCACTTGAACTTCTTGCTCATGTTCCTGGTTTGACCGTATGTACTCTAGTTGTATTTCTGAAACATGACTTCTTGTAAAACAGAAAAGATTGTAAGAAGCTAGGAGCTTTCCCTCTTTTGTTTTGTTTTGTTTCTTCATAAGTATGGCCCGGATTTTGGATGGTATTATTAGTATCCTGCTTCTTAGCAGCAGTGATTCATCTCTCTTTGTGGGTCTTACGATCCCATGTTACGCTAGATGGTTGACCATAAGTGATAGCGTGCTCTCTCATCAAAGATAAATTAAGGAAATCAACCGTTTTGGTTACATTTGTAAGCAGAATAGTATATGTGTACTTATCTTATTTTGTTTGTATGCTCTTTATTATCTAAGAACCACAGAATATTATTATTATATTTATAAAAATAAAAATAAAAACAAGATAATCATTGTTTGAAATCAGCATCAGATTGTTTTTGATATGTTATCTATCATTGTTAGAGTTCCTAATGATGACTGACGGATAATTGCATATCACAATGAAGCCAGAGAATGTTCACTTCATAATACGAAATCCTTGCACTTATTGATTTTGATTTAGTTCATTTCTTTTCAATTCACTATCTACAGGTCAGGCGCAACCTTGACCAAGCCAAGACCCTGGTTGACGCTTTAATCAAGGTGATCCTTCTTTATCATTGTACTTTTAATCCTTAGTAGCGGCTGCACTTGGTGATGAATATTTTTGTAATCAATTCATACTCATTGAGGTTATGGGTTCAATGGTAAAAACTTGGCCTAATAACCTTGGGGTTATGGGTTCAAGTCTTGGGACCACCACTTTTTATATTATGCCAAAGGTTAGGTGTGTACTCAATCTTTTCCCTTCCAAACACACATTAATGTGTACAAATTGGGCGATGTTTTTTTTTCATACTCATTGCCTGACAAGATGACTCTGTGCAGAGAGAGGAGAAAAAGAGAGAAGTCATAGAGAGTGAAGTTAGCCTACAAAGGCTTCAAATAAAGTACAAGGTAAACATGGGATGTCATTTTACATCTTAGCTGCACTAATATATTTTTTAATGCAGTTATAATCACTTGGTTGTTTTGGCTAAGCTACTTTTTATTTGATAGACACATTTAGTTGATACATGAAAATTGAATTACTTTATAGAATATTTTGAGACAGATTTCTTTTGGGCTATGTGGGCAGTTGTCTCCGAGTGGATCCCGTCATCCATAATTATTACCTTGAGTTTGTATTATATGATTTCTTCATAAATAGAATGCGATGTATTTATCTACTTGACTTTTTTTTGTTAATAGGACAGTTTTCCAAAATTCCTATAGATCACGCATATGATTATTTTGCTTTCAATTTTTTTAGGTCGTTTAGATTCAAATTGGTCTTCTGTAATTTGATTGGTAAGTGAATCTTAATGGATTTCAGCATGAAACTGAGCTTCTTGAAGACAGCTTGGCTCTACCTGGATTGCCATCCTTTCCTGGCAAGTTTGGTTCAAGCGAGGAGGAATTTATGGACTCAGATGATGTTGCAAACATCCGTCCTCCGTATACACTACCTGGTGCTGTACAGAATATGCCTTCCATGGACTCCAAGCTGGTGATGGTTTCTGCTGGAAGCATGAAGCGAGAGTTCAGACGGAAGAATGCCCCCAATGGATGGCTTCATAAATTGGTATGTACCTACTACTTCTGCCAAAATAAAATTTACCATCTTTTGAATCTTTTGACTTCTGCCTCCTTCCCCCTTTCGCTGCTTGGGGTCTATGTTACATGGACTTGGGTACAGTGTCAGGTATGGGTGCGTATCTAGGAGTTTGACCCATCAAATCTCAAATTAAAGGGTACGCAAACTCATAAAAAAAAGGTCTTATATTTATATATTTAATATATTATGTATAACAAAATGGTGTTTTATGTAACATACATTCTCAAAACAGCTTTTTACTCGTTTTCTATCAATTATACAACAAAATATACATATAATGATAGTGTGAAATCCAAATATATAAGAAGTGTTTGATGGAAAGCATCAAACATATATCTATCGGGGTGTTCAATGGTAATAGCTTGGCCTAATAATCTTGAGGTTATGGGTTCAAGTTTTGGGGCAACCACTTTGTGCACTATATCAAAGGTTAGGTGTGTACCCAATCTCTCCCCTCCAAAACACATTAATGTGTACTATTTGGGTATACTTCATGTAACATAGCTTGGGGTTAAGCCATGGCAAGGATGCATTGGAAACTTTAACAATCCACCCTGTCAATCACTGATTTATAATATCCTTACTGGGGAACTTTTTAAAACAGTCAAATGGATTTTAAAAAAAAAGGTTAATTGCAGAACACATTGGCAATGTTTTTCTTCTTGGTATGGTAAATAATGCATTTCAATGGGATTAATGCAGGACCCACTTGAGCCAGTTCTGCTGTTCACTAAGCCTGTAGATCCAGAAAAACTGGCAGCTGCAGGCATTGTGCCACCACCAGATTCTTCAACAACAACGATGACGACGATGACGATGATGAACAGTGCATCAGGCCGCTCATATAACTTTCATGGGAGGATTGGCCGAGGGGGACGGATAGTATTTGACAGATGGAATCCACTTATGCATACACCAATTGACTGTGGTAACTCTTTTTATATACCACCAAAACCAAGGCATTCTACGCACAATTGACTTAACTGTGCATATTGCGTTCATGCTGAGACAGGTGCACCCACTTGAAAACGATCCATTTTGTTCGTTAGGGAGGCAATGCATAAGGGAATTTTGTGAGATTAGTGAATATATTGGTAGGCTTACTTATGGGTATTTGCTGCAGAGGCAAGAAGGCAACTTTCATTAGTTTTGCCAGTGGAAATAGTTGTACCTTGCTATGACAATTTCTTGTGGGGAAGCATGCCTTTTGGTTTGCCTCTGCCCATTGTACAATTATTGTTATCTTTGCTCAAAGTAAATGAATCAATCTCTCTCTCTCTCTCTCTCTCTCTCTCGCGTTAAGTACTTTTCCTGGTGGAGAGCAGGGGCTGCAATATTGCAGCTTTATTTGTAGCAGTAAGAGTAGAGTTCAATATTTGGAGGCTTTTCCCAAACTAGGACTAGGTACTAATTTATTTCCCAAACTAAGCCTAGTTTGGCCGAATTTCCCAGAATAAGCTGAAGTGTGTTTACAATACACGCTTTCAGCATATTTCTGGCTCAGGCGGACAAAATAAATAAAATTTTAAAAGCGTGGTTAGAAAACACGACTTTAATTAAGAAAATGCTGTTGCTATTAGCATTTTCAGGTTTAAGTAATAGCGTGATTTGGAAACACGCTTTGAAGAGAAAGCGTGGTTATTATAAAATTTCAAGAGAAAGCGTGATTTCTAACCACGTTTTTAACAGAAAGCTATTATAAAATGGCCCACCCCTCCATTTGCAACCACGCTTTTAAACACTTGTCTTTCTTTTCCTCTAAAACCCGAACCAGTTCTCCCTCTCTGTGTTGCTCTCCGCTCTCTCTCTCCCACTTTGTGTTGCTCTCTCTCTCTCTTTCTCTCTCTGCTTTCTCTCTCGCTGGTATGTGCACTCTCTCTCTCTCTCTCTCTTACACACACACACACAGAGTTTGAATTTTATTTATGTTGATTTTGTTTGTGAAAATGTGAATGTGGGTAGATAACAATGTGGGGTTTTGTGAATTCAAATTGGGGTTTTGTGAATTCAAATTGAGGAAATTTGGAATATAGAATAGTTTGAATACAGTTTGAAAGATAGAATAGTTTTGTGAATTCAAATTGATACCATGTTGGTTAGAATAGGGTTCTGTGAATTGAAATTGTGGTTTTGAATTCACAGAACCCTAGCTCTAACCCAATTCTGTTAGGGTTAGGATTTTGTGAATTCAAATTTTGGTTATTATATGCATTTGTGTTTGTTTGTGAATTCAAATTTTGATTAATTATGAGTTGCACCAATCTCAACAAAATCAACAAAACTATGTTTTTCTATCATTTTTTGTCTTTAAAAAATAACTGAACTCAGGTTTGTAGAAGTGTAACCAAGGAGTTAAAGTTTGGGTGCTTAATTAGACAAGTAAATACCCACTTCTGGAACAGTTACGGGGCTGTGAATAGCACCAGTTGACAAAACTACAAGATTGTATGTGTTCTTTTGAGGCTAGGGTTAAATATTTAAAAAAGAAAAGAGTTAGGGCTCCTTCTCAACACTTTTGAGGGTTGAAAAGGGGCTGACAGTAAGTTTTCAAGGACTTATAGGGTTACAGAAAATTGAAAGAGGGGACAAAGTAGAACAAAAAGAGAGGCATCATGCCTTAATTTCCCTATGTTCAGATTTCCAGCAATTTAGTTGAACTATTAGGCTTCCAAAAAAACTGTTTTCCCCAACCAAAAAGTACATGTTTTCTCACATTGTGGATTCAAACTTGACGGCAGTCACTTTGTGCAAATAATGACAAAGGTTAGATCTATACCCAATTTACCCCTCATAGACCCCCATCCAAAGGGAACTAAACTAAGCTTCTTTCTTTTTTTTATCAAACTATGTTTATTTACTAATAGAAAAATATTTCATCTACGTAATTTTTCTGAATAACCTGCCAAGTCAAATTTAAAAAACTACATACAAATATTTGTGCAAACTTTCCTTATATGTATTTTGGGAAGAAACTGTATAGTTATAACATTGTTATCGACAATAAGTATCCAATGCGATCTTGTCCAGATGTTATGTACAAATATATTAATGCTGATGGTTTGATAATAATATGCATACAGTATACATCTTATAACATACATTTAACCCAAACCAAATTTGGCAAAAAAAATATGTTATAACATTATACATTATAGTAGATACTCAGTGGAGATTTGTTTACAAAAGTTTAGAAGAAGAAGTACTCTGTGTTAGTGTGATTATGTACAATGTGTATCGATACATTTTTGTTTTTCTTGATGTATAATATTTTAATCTTACGAATTTTATACAGATGGAGGCAGAATACGTTCTTTAATCTTATGGGTTGAAAACCAAGACTTGACTCCTATTTTTTAATTATTTATTCTTTTTAAATTGAAGAGCTAGTCTTTCTCAAACACAACTTGATTGTGTGTTCAATTAATAATTATTTTTATAATATATGTATTTTTTAAATATATAATCTCTTACTAATTTTCTTTTATATATAAATATATATTTAGCTCTATAAATCTTTTCTTAATCTTATTATTGATTGAACAAACTATCAACCTAATGTTCAAGTTTGTTTGGTACATGGATTTTGTGTTTGTTTGGTACAAATGGATTCAAGTTTGTAAGAGTCTCTAGCATTGCGTTTGATTAAGCTTATCGAGTGTTAACCTGTTCAATTTTATGTTATCTATTCATTTTTTGTATGTCATGGGAAAACAGAATTGGGTTAGGATTAGGGTTCTGTGAATTCAAATTGTGGTTTTGAGAGGGTTAGGGCTAGGGTTCTGTGAATTCAAATTTGGAACATTGAACTAACAATAAGTAAAATTGTAATAGTATCTAAGCCATATCAAATTTGGAATTTAAAAAAAAAAAAAATCTTCAAATCCTAAGTTAAACATGGAATTTGATTCATATTTAATTAAAAAAAACTATCTATTATATCTATAGCAATATGTATCTATCTATCTGTAAAGTAATAATTAGTTCCATTTTAGTAAATCATGATCACCATAACATTACTGTTTTTAAGAATCTACAAAAATAATTTAAATTTTGTAAAGTGAATTATTCAGATAAATTATTAGTAAATAATTTTGTAATGTGAATTATTCAGATAAATTTTGTAATGTAAATAATTTAATAACATTACTCTTTTTAGTAAATTTTGTAATGTGAATAAAAAAAAAAAATTATATTAGTAAATTATAAAATTTCCTTATGATAAATTATCGTTATTATTACATTTCATCCGAATGGCAGGCCACATCCAAATAATTCGGTCAAAAAATAAAATTTAATTTATTCTATATCTAAAAAGCTAGTTTTAGTATTATAAACAAAATAGTATTTAGTTAGTTTCATTTCTCTTCCAATCTCTCCACTTTAGAGATTCAAAATAGGAATTTATTCTCATTTCTCTCCTATTTGGTAATTCAAACAAGTGATTGAAATCTATTTCTCCTCATTTCATTTCTTTTCTCTGCAAATCACTCAAACCAAATTCCGATAAAAAATATCCAATAACAAAGGTGTCAATACTAAACGCAAGCCTAATAGAGATACAACACTCAATTAAAGTGCCTATAGCTATTAGGGCACAATCTTATGCAAAAGCATTCAAAATAAGTTGGGACATATGACTTCAAATAGAAGCTTATAATGTTTGCATCGCTTATAATGTATTTTGACAATACTTTAACAGTTGCTCTTGTTGAAATGAAATTTTCAAAATTAAAATTGTTAAAATTATTATTGAGAGCAATTATGTTAGAAGAAAAATTAAATAGATTTACCATAATATTAATTGAGAAGGATATTAAAAAATATATAAAAATTAATTTAAAAAAAATATAAACTCCTATCTAAAAAAATCCCAGATTAACTAACACATAATAATCAAATTAAAATCCGAATAGAATCAAAATTTGAGATAACATATGCAAGCTACATGTCAATTTTCTAGACTTTTCCTTCTTCTTTTCTTTTCTTTTATTCATTTATTTTTTCACTTTTAGCCTTTAAAACTACTAATCTAGATCTGTATTAGCCCCTATCGAAGCGTCAAGTATCATATTTGCTTAACCCCAATACTCTAGATTGCAAAAAAAAGTAAACTAGCTAAGTTATTGTTCATATTGTCCAGAACAACGCCCAAATAGCCCCTAAGACATTGTGTTTGGATTCTCTAAATCTAACTTTTTTGTTACCCCATACAAATCTTTAACCCCTTATTTTTTTGCTAACGGTTTGAACCATGAAAACCAATTAAAAATCAGCCGCAATAGCCATCCAACCTGTTAGTTTTGGGCTCACTACTAATAGGAGAGTGTTCACCACACTAGTCCTACATCACGAAGTTATATCCTCAATTAAGCTTTAGTTAATTATTTACTAGCTAATCTAATTGTTAGAATGACCATTCATTATTAGTTGTTGCACGTTGTTTCATTGATATATGGAACACATGGTACATTATTGGACTTCTATTTTTTATTTTTTAAGAATCTTACACCTAGTGAATGGTTTTGATTGAGAGTCTCATGTTCTATGTTATTAAAACTATCTTTAAGGCAATTTATAATTTTTTTTTGTGACAAACTTTCTAATTGTACTAGACCTTGTAGATATCTTTTAGTTTTGGGATTAAAAATACAAAAAACTGATTTTTAGTTCATTGGCATTGTCATGAAAGTCAAGTCCTAGAGCCTTGATGAATTTTGAAAATAGATTATCATCAATATTGCTGCCATATGAAAATAGTAAGGCACATTAGAAAGTTATGGGCGCTCCTATGAATGGTTTCATGTCAATATTTGTATAGGGCTTTTAATGACATATTGTGAAGCCTATGAACTTAGAATCAAAAGGTCAAAATAGCTTTATCTATTCTTCTTATTAAATTTTGGGAGATTTTTATGCTACTAAGATTTAGGGTCAACTTGAGTGCAAGAAATATCCAAAACAAATTATACGAAAAAGTCAAAGATTCTATTTTCTCCCTATTTTTTGTAAAGTTCTTGACTCACAAGTTTTATTTAGTGTGTTACATTGATTGTAATATTTGGAAAAAGTACATTAAGAAGTTTTTTTTGAAGTGTTACGTTTAGTAATTTCAACATTATGAGGAAATCTACATTTGCTCTCAACATAGAACACATGCGCATTTATACTTGGCCGTTATGTAATTTATATTAAAATCAAACCGTTGGGTCCATAAGAAAAAAAATAAAAATGATCAAACAGTTCATAAGATTACTATTTGGAATTCATTGGGGCATCACCCTTAATTTT